TTTTTTGAGAGAGAGGTTTTTGCTATAGGGCGCGTACGCTCACCGGAAAGACAGAGAGACAGAGAGACAGAAAGCGAGAAATCACCCCCCCCTCCCCAGGGGGGATGGCCATGATGCAATCCCTTCTCTATTCTCCTCTCAGGATCTTGGACACGCACACACACGCGCCCAGTGCGTTTAAGCCACCAGGTCCGGGACTCAAACCGTGGTGGACTACATGGGAATCCAGCAACATAGCCATTACGCTAACTGCTGGTCCCCACACAACTAGCATTCTACTCTCACTTCCTGCCCTTTTAGCTTTCTCAAACCTACTACATCTGTTTTAACCTAATGTTCCTAAAACCTCTCCTGCCTCCCCATCTCCCGTCATTAATCTGATCTGACTTTCTTCTTCATCCTGCCCTATCCTCACTGTGCATCCTTTCAGCCACTGTTACTAATGCCCACTCCACTTGTATCATTTCAGCTGTTCCCAGCTTCTATACCTGCTACATTTTACAGATTGGTATTACCACGGATTTACAAATTTATTTTCTCTATGACCTGGGTCACAGCTCATTTCCTTCAACAACCACTTCAAGCCTTCACCACATCTCTCAATTTCCACACCTTACTTTGTCTCATTCTTTCTTCAGAGTGCCCTCTTCACAGAGGATATTTAGGCTATCAGGCATAAATTCTCTTTTCTCTTTCTCTATTTCATATATCTCTACACCTAATCTTCCTTTCCTATCTCAGAGGAAAATGATTTGTTCAGTTTGAAGCATCCTTCTAACTCAGCTCTAAACCCTTTTCTATTGTTTCCTTTTCTTCATTGGTCAACTTCTTTATTCTTCTGAAGTCTGTAAATGAGCTCCCACCCTTAAAAACAAAACAATTTGCTAGGCCCAGCCACAATTTGGTGGCACATACTGCTAATATGCTATGTTCCATAGACTGGTACCACATTGGAGGACTGGGGTTCAATTCCTTGTTTTAAATTTAAGGCTAGGCACAGTAGCATGTGTCTAATCCCAGCGACTTAGGGAGGCTAAGGCAGGAGGATCAAAGCTGGCCTGTATAATATAGCAAGACCTTATTTTTCTGTTTTCCATTTTTTTGCTATTGGGTATGTGTGCTCCTGTGAGAGAGAACAGAGAGAGGAGAGTTAGAAAGGGGGAAAGTGATAAATCACCCCCCAGGAGGTATGGTCATGCTGTAATCCTTCTCCTCTTGGGATTTTGGGCATGCATGCACATGCACCTGGTATGATTTTCATCAAGCCTTTGGGTCTAAGACTCAAACTGCTCATCTGGCCATGTGGGATCCAGTGCCTTAATATCTGTACTGCCTGTTGGCACAATAAGAGTCTCTCTTTTTTTTTTTTCCCCAGAATTATTTAACTTTATTATTTATTTATTTTAAATTGATCAGAGAGGGACAGAAAGAGAGAGAGAAAGAGAGAGAGAGTGAGAAAGCAAGCTTGGTCAACTTGAACTGTGGTCAGCCATGTGGGAGTCCAGTGCCCTTAGCCACTGTGCCACCTCTGGCCTCAAGACCCTGTCTAAAAAAAGAAAAACCCAAGGCTGTCCCTGTAGCACAGAAGGTTAAACTCTGTGCATGGGGAGCCAGATTCCACATGGCTGACCACAGTTTAAATCCTAGTTCCAGCAGCTTGGAAACATGCTAGGTACGTGCATGCCCCAAATCCTGGCATGATGGAGAAGTAGAGGAAAAAGGATTGCCACATGACCACAACCCATTGAAGGATCTCTCTATTTGGCAAGGGCATGCACACTCTGAAAATTTAAAAAGGTATCAACCCTCTGTCCTGGTCCTACCACTATCCTGGGTTACTTTCCATTCATTTACTGTCAGATTTTCCCAAAGCCTACAGATTAACTTCATCTCCTCTTCGTCTACTCACCCATCAGCCCTCTTTTGCCACTGAACCTTTGAATGAATGTTTTACTGACTTAGTTGCCTTGACTTTTCTTCTTTGTGTATCTGACAGTTGACTTCTACTTCCTTAATATCTTCTTGCTTTTGGAAACTCTACCCTTGCTCTACTTTTGGATACATGCACTCACTCATTATATTGACAAATCTCTAACTAAAAATTTTAACCCAGATCTCTTACATCAGCTCAGTCCTGTATTTCCATTACTCACATTTCTACCTGGACTTCGTATGCACATTTTAGATACATCCTGACTAAACTTGTTCCTTTTCTGGATTCCATCATTTAATAGCTCCAGCACCCAGCCAACCCAGTTCATGTCATTGACTTTCTCCTAACAACTAGATCCTATCAGTGATTATCTTTGATTTACCTTCTTGAACTTTCTTCATTTAGCCCTCCTCTCCATCCCCTGCTAAGCTCATAGTGTCCTTGGCTATTATAGCAGTAGTTTCCTAGTTCTTTTTTTTAAGTATAGTTTTTATTTCTAACATACATGAGTGAGACAGCACCAACAGGGTCCCAATGCCACTGTCCACTCCCAGTCTCAGCCAGTCCTGGATCATGGGCACACGTGTGCCTCGCACATACCCAGGTAGGTCTTTGGATGTGAATCTGGAACTTTTCCACGTGAGTTAGCTTTGCAGCATCTCACTTTACTGTTTTGTCACTGTCTGCCCCTAGCACCCTAACTCTTTCTCTTTGGTCTTTTTCTAACCCACTCTTCATATATGGATTCCTGAGTAAGCTTTCCAGAAGTTTTTTTTTTTTTTTAAGAGAGATTTTTGCTATAGGGCACGCACGCTACGCTCTCAGGAGAGACAGAAATCGAGGAATCACCCCCTGGGGAGATGGCCACGCCACAATCCCTTCTCCTCTATTCTCCTCTCGGGATTTTGGGCACACACACATGCTCCTGGCATGAGTTTTAAGGCACTGGGTCTGGGATTTCAACTGTGGTCAACTGCGTGGGAGTCCAGTTTTGTAACCATTACACCATCTGTTGGTTCCTGAAGTTATTTTTTTAAAAACAAAAAAATATTAATTGCCAGAGGGCACTTGTGCTCATGGGTAGGGGGAGGGGAGAGAATCCTACAACACAATCCCTTCTCCATTTCTTCATCCTGTCAGGATCTGGAGTATGCACACACATGTATTCCAAGCCACCGTGGCCAATATTGAAACCGCAATTGGCCATGTGGGATGATCTGCTCCCTTATCCACTAGACTATGGAGCCAACCTCCCAAGATTTCGATTTTGCTTTTCATGACTTCCAGGACAAGGCTGAATGCTTCGGTCAGTGGTTTTCTAATATGATCTCTGCTGACTTTTCCAGTCCTAGCTCTTATTATACTTCAACCACTCTTTAGTTAGCCTGAACTTCTCATAGCTCTCTAGTAGGCCAGGCTTATTCCTTTGTTCCTATGCTGGGGATGCCTTCCCTTTTTTCTTCCCTTGCAAACCATCTATTCATTTTTCACAATTCGAACTTTTTAACACTTTTTCTACCATCCCTCTTGGGTATCTTGTATGGATATCCTGTATGGATATCCAGTATGGGCTCTAAGTATCCTATACATTTTTGTCTTGTACCAATTTGTTTGGCTGTCTGTCCCACTAGTCTGAGTTCAAGGGTAGGGGTCATATTTGATTCTTTGTGTCCCAGTGTCAGCACAGGTCCTGGCATAGAATACACAGTTGATGTTTACTGAAATGAATGAGTTGAAATGAATGAGTTAGGTTTGGTGTGGGGTTCTTAATCTACTGTAGACATACCAGTTTACTCTAAAGGTGTTTAGCCAGACCTTAAGACCCGACATTGGTACATAAAATAACTGGTGTGTGTGTGTGTGTGATTGCATTGGTCCTGTTGCCAGGAGACAGACTGGGAAAACAGGTTGGCTGAGCAGACATACTACTCCAGGACTCTTGCTTCTCATCACTGCCCCTTCTCTTAAGCAGTTGTGAGCTGAATGCCTAGGTTTCCTTGTTCCCTGCGTATGGGGATGACTAAGCCTACAACCCTTGGATCCCTGCCCCCAGGCAGGAACCATTGAGGAGAAGATCTTCCAGCGTCAGAGCCACAAGAAGGCGCTGAGCAGCTGTGTAGTGGATGAGGAGCAGAATGTAGAACGGCACTTCTCTCTGGGCGAGTTGAAGGAGCTGTTTACCCTGGATGAGGCTAGCCTCAGTGACACACATGACAGGTGGGTGGAGTACCCCACCATTATCTCTGTGCTACCTGCTCAGCATGGAAATGCGCCCTGTAGTGACCAGTGCTGTTCCACCCTCAGGTTACGCTGCCGCCGTTGTGTCAACAGCCGCCAAGTCTGGCCACCCCCTGATGGTTCTGACTGCACTTCAGACTTGGCTCAGTGGAACCATAGCACTGATAAGCGGAGCCTCCAAGATGAGGTTCTCCAGGCTGCCTGGGATGCTGCTTCCACTGCCATTTCCTTTGTCTTCCATCAGCGTTCCCATGAGGAGCAGCGAGGGCTTCGCTGATAGGCTGCTGATCTGGGTGTAGCTGTTAGAGAAAGGAGACAGGGTAAAAGGGTTCCCAGCTCCACAGGGCCCTACTGATTTTGTTCTCTGGGAGAAAATCATCAAGAAGGGTGGCATGATGTTTGCCCAAAATTTATTTTATAAGAAAAACTTTTTTGGTTAAAAAAAAGAAAGGAATAAAGGTATGAAAGGGTCTGAGGCCTGGGAGCAGCGTGGTAAGCCCAGCAGGGAAGAGGTCTGGTAGTGGACACTCCTACACTTCTCTAAAGCCAGGGTACCTGCTTAATGAGGGAAGGCAGGAACCCAGGGGAGGGGCTGTCTTCAGTGACTTGGATGACCACTGTAACCTCCTGACCCAGGGTTCCTAGGGCACTGAGTAAGGGGCCCAAAGGCTCTAAACCCAGCTATGGAAATGCCTTTGCTGGGCCCCATCAAGGCCTCCAGGACTTCAGTGCAAGAAAAGAAGGAAAAAGAGAAAAAAGGTGACAGAAAGAGAAAGACAGAATTGGTGGTTGGGGTTTCTGGGCAGCCCATGCCTCAGCCCCTGCAAGCTGATGACGCTGAGCATGGGCCAGTGAGGTACGGGCCCATCACATGGTGCTGACATAATCTGCAAAGGCCTGGGATGAGTCCCACGAGTCGCTAACCACGTGACAGGTGGCCCGGAGCCGCCGGATGGCTTCTCTGGCTGTGACTGCGTCCTGGTCCAGCCAGTTCTGGAAGAGACGCAGGTGACCAAAGGCTCCACGACCCCAGCGCTCCAGCCGCTTGGCGAATTCCAGAAGCCCATCTGGCTTGATGCAGTTGGAACTGGTAGGGGTGAGACAGATTAGATATCCAAGAAGCAACTAATCCTAGTCTATAACCATATGGCCTTATCCCTTGTCTTCCCCTTTCCCCCAAGTACCTGATGTCCAGCTGACAGAGAGAGGAGGAGGAATCCTCTGAGAAAACATCTGCCAGGGCTAGCAAGCCAGCGTTCCCTGGAGAGGAGGAGAGAAGTGCTGTCACCCCCACCCAAGAAGAGGGAACAAGGGCATTTCAACTCTAGCTGAGGAGACAACTCTGCAGGTTCCTGAAGTACCAGCATACAAGTATATCTATGTTCCAACCCCTCTACCCCCCATTCCCAATGGAGAGTCTGTGCCTTCACCCAGTGAGCTTCTAGGTCAAAGGCCTAGCTCCTTCCCACTCCATCCCCAGGGGATATCCCCTACCCAGGCGGTTCCCTGGCAGCCGAAGGCCCTTCAGCGTGGAGTTGCCCTTCATAGCAGCAACCATCTCAGGCAAAAATTGGGCTGGGCGCTTCTCGAACAGACGGCAGAAGGAGAAGGTGATCTCTGTCAAGAGAAATGAGCATAACTTTTGATGGCTGCCCCAGTTAGCCCTTGTAAGGGCTGTGAACATTTTAGAGAAGCCTGGAAAGAGGAAAGAATTTGTCCAGGACTCTAAGCAAGGCTTAAAGCTAAATCAGGATTCAAACCAGAGGCTGAGCCATCACTGTAAGGATATTTTCTGTGTGGACAATTCTCCATTTGCTTCTTTCTCTCCCTCTCTCCACTGACCACACTGTGGGGATAGGGAACTGAGACAGTCTGTGAGGAGATCCTGGCACAGCACAGTTATTTTTCCCTACCACCATTTCTGCCAGCCTCTAAAGGTAAGAAAAACTTGAGTCAGGTACTTAGTAGAGTTGAGTCTGGTACTTTACAAGGGAGGTCATGCAAGTTCTATATCCATTTTATCATTGAGCACACAAGGCCAAGAAAGGAACAGTGGCTTGCACACTCAGCAACAAAGCCAGTGAAGGCTCAGAAATGCCCAAGTTCTAGGTGAGAAACTTACCTTGAAGAGTCAGATTCTGCAGCAAGAAGAGCACCTCGCTCTGACAGTCAGCTAAATTCATGTCATGGAAGCTCAACCTCTTCAAGGCTAGGTTGTACTCTGGGCATGAGGCAAAAACCATGGGCCTTAGCTTTCTCAGAACAATGCTAGGTCCCACCCACCTCTTCCCTTCACCATTTTGGCTGTGTCCTACCTTTAAGTGTCTGCAACACAAGCCCAAAATCCTGGGGTGAGGCAAAGGTGGCGCTATCCAGGGACAGCTGTTGCAGAGAACCTGAGGCCTTCAGTACGGAACAGAGCAGCGGGGCTGGCTGGGCTCCTCGTGGAAATCCCATCTCTAACTGCTCCAGGCAGTTTTCTGGATATGGTAGGGAAA